ATATATATATTAGTGTACTTTTTGGAACCATTTTTTTATGAGCTACTTCCAAAACTGAATGTTTTTTCTTTTAATTATCCACTGAATCGGTACACCAAACACTGAATTATTTATGCCTTCTTTGGTCAAAATGAGCAGCCTGCAGTATTATAAGTAATTTGTAATACAGTACTCCAACTCAGTCCAGAGTGAAAAAAAAATCAGTAAACTTCTTTCAAAGATGTAAGTTAAACTTGAAAGACAAATTCATAACAAAGCCAACACAGTTTCATTTATGGAAACTGACAAAGGACATACCTTCTAATTTATGCTTTATGATCATTTTTTATTTATTTAAAGACCCATCTTTTTGGTTTGGCTTTTAACTCCAGAGAGCACATACAATAGCCTAGTCTTGCCCTCTCTCTATTTTTTTTTGTTTTGTCTTTGAAGTTGCGGTTGTTTTGCATGCTTTTATATTACTTTTTATTTTATTTTATTTTTGCTGTGCAGCACTTTGGTTGCCTTGGGGTTTGTAAAGTGCCATATAAATAAATTTTTGATTGATTGATTGATTGATTTTTGCACAATAATCATCTTTTTAACTTGAAAGAGCTAAATTTTCTTTTTATTTTCCAATGATGGCTTCATCCTCTTGAGACATGGACGACTCGACTGATGATTTATAAATGGTCAGAGGGTCATCTTTGCAACCATATCATAAATCTGTTTTGTGAAAAATAAGTTGTCCCTGTAAAGTAAGATTTTTAAAAAAAGAAAATTAGGTAAAGAATTCATGAGTGAAGGAAACTGAATATCAACATCACTGGTGCTCTGAAGCTTCATTCAGAGGTTTCAAAAACACAGAACTGTATTCCCATTCTGCCCACCTGCCTCCAACACACATATAAGGTTTATATTGTCACAGAGGACATGAATAAGAGAGGTAAAGAGTAATTTCCTGTCTTGTCCTTTGAGGGTAGAAATGGCAGATCATATCACTGACCAAGACCAATATTATTTCCTTTACCATAAAACCCAGATAACTATTCACATCGCACTATATTCTTCTGCAGGCACAGCCTCATGTTTTGTTGTGGTTACAGATATTACTCACACATTAACAAACTAATTTTTAGACTTTAATATTCCCCCAAACTACGTTTAGCGTTTTGAACATGAATATTGTTTCATATTTTACTATTTTATTTATGGTATTATAATTAAGATTTCTGAGCACAAACTGTAAGATATTTACTTATCTTCCAATTAGCCTGTTTTGTTCTCCTACAGGGATATCAGTGAGCATCTCAACATTCAGCCTGGTTGCCATAGCCATCGAGCGCTACAGTGCCATTTGTAATCCGCTGAAGTCTCGGGTGTGGCAGACTCGTTCCCATGCCTACCGTGTCATTGCTGCTACATGGGTGCTGGCCTTCATCATCATGATCCCCTATCCCGTCATCAGTCACCTGGAGTCGTTTCGGCGCCCTGACAACACCACAGCACACAAGTGTCGCCACAAGTGGTCCGATGCAACAGCAGAGCAGACCTGGTGAGGGGTTTGGTTTGAAAAAAATATATGACAATCAAAATACGATTGTCAGTGATCTACACACTTGGTCAAAGCAGGTCACTCATATAGGTTCAATGCATCTGCTAACAAAATGTGAACATTAGGTAAAAACAAGAAAAGAAGCAGATCAAGAATATGTAATGACAGGACTACACAAACTGAAATAGACTGAACCAGGCAAACTGAAACATTGCAAAGACAAGAATTACGCTCCAAAAACAGATATAATGGAATKAATTAAACAATATRTCAATTGTTTCCACTCAACTGAATTGAGTAAAGGTAACACACTGATTTTACAGTGACTTTAAATRACAGTAAAGAAGAAGTGTTACCTTAAGTCAATTCAGGTGAGTGAAAACAGCTGACATAATCTTTTCTAAATTAAATCCGCTACATCTGTTTTTTGAGTGAAGCAAATATTGGATTTACATTCCCTTAATCAACAATATATATAT